AGAGGAGAATGGAGGAAAGGGATTGTGGCATGGCCATCTGCCCATGTAAGTGATTTCTTGCTTTCTGTCTGGTGAGTGCACACACCCTATAGCAAAAACCTCTTTAAAAAAATTAAAAAGAAGTCAATCAATACAACCTACACAGACAGAAGAAATAAATTATACAAAATGAAGATTAATAAAAAGAAATTTTTGTTATTTTTTAAAGTTATTTTATTTATTCATTCATTTATTTTAATTTGACCGGGGGTGGGGGGGAGTGAGAAAACAAGCCACCAGGCCCAGGACTGGAACCATGGTCGGCCATGTGGGAGTGTCCAGCACCTCATCCACTACATCACCTGATGGCCCCTACATATATATATATACACACACATGTATATATATTTTTTTTTTCTTTTTTTCTGAGAGGTTTTTGCTATAGGGCATTTCTGCTTGCCAGAAAGACAGAGACAGAAAGTGAGAAATCACCCCCTAGGGAGAATGGCCATCCCACAATCCCTTCTCCAATTCTCCTCTCGGGATCTTGGGCATGCATGTACACATGCTCAGAGTGAGTTTAAGCCACCAGGTCCAGGACTGAAACTGCGGTCGACTATGTGGGAGTCCAGCGACCTAGCCATTATGCCAACCGCTATTCCCAATGCAGGGAAGTATTAACAGTCCCTAATTTGGGGGCTTGGCATTGGCACAGTGGTAGGGGACGGTCCTGTCTTTATATCCTGGGACCTCTCTGAGCACCTGAGTTGCACACACTTGCCTGTGACTTGGGCTAGTAGGTAGGGCTGGGGTGGATCATGGTATAAAGACCCTCCCATGGAATAAACCAACTTAAAAGAAAAGTCTCTACTGTATGTTAGTGATACTCAGCAGCTAGTGGTAGACTAAAATAAGTCACCCAAATAGTACCTTGATTGCTCACTCTTCCAGGAAGTAAGAGGAAAAGACATTACAGACAAGCAGAGAGCCCCGTGGCCCCGGCTGAAAAACGGTATGGCTGTGGCCGTGAGGCAGGAGTTCTCACGGCTGAAATTAACGTCACCAACAGGAACTCAGCTATTCAGTACAGAGCTCTGGGTGAACTGAACACCGTTCATGTGGCCGAACTGAGCATGGGTGGCCACACAGGAGTGAGTGAAGGACGTCTTTCCTGTTGGTGCAAAGCCAAACACCTGGCACCTGCCACAGCCCCACTGGGCTGATAATGCAGGCGGGGTTCTGGGTGCCATCGTGGCCAAGTCCAGAGGACGGCAGGGCAGCACACAGCAGTACATGCACGGAGAAAGTAAGGGGTCCTGGAGGCTGGACAGTCACTGGATGCTGGAGGCAGACGGGCGAGGAAGTAGAAGTGCCCACTGAGCTTGTGTCAGAAGCCACGGAGAAACATGGCCACCATTAAGTCTCCTCCCCGCCACCGCTGCTCCCCACCCCTGTGGCCCAGCCACTTCTGACACCCAGCATACCCAGCTGGGGGAAACTGCCGCACCTGCTTCATATGTGAAACCTCTTGTTCATCTTCTGGAGGGAAAAGGCACCTGAATTCAAGGGGTAGACTTTAGACAGGGCTTGAGGGAGGGAGGGAACCTGAACTTGTCAGGAGCTCATCAGAGCCAGAGCTGAGCTGGCGGGTGTTGGGATAGCAGGTAAGACATGAAGCCAACATGAAAGCAATAACCAAGGCTTTAATCACCTACTGACCGAGTATAAGCAAGAGGCTAAACCAGAGAAAGCACCAGCTCCCGTCACTCCACCGTGGAAAGGCGTACCAGCTGGGGTCAGGTGAAGAGCTGTGCGCAGTCTTCTCCCTGCTGAGAGAGCTCTGAAAAGGCCCCTGCAGTTTTGTGGACCCGAGGCAGACATGCGGGTGGTGCTGGAGGTGGACAGGAGGGCTGGGAGTAGAAAAAGTACCGAGTCAAGCCAAGGCCAGGCTGGGAATGCAGTTCTGGGTCAGAGCACGGCTGGTCAGGGGTCCGAGTATGTGACTGTAGCTCCCTTTATTTTTATTTTGCTTTGGGTTGTGTGTGCTTGCCAGAGAGAAGAGAGAGAGAGAAAAGGTGAGAAATCATCCCCCCCGGGGGGTGGGTGGGGGGTGGGGCATGCCACAATCCCTTCTCTGGGGATTTTGGGCATGTATAAAAAACATGCACCCAGTGTGATTTTTTAAGCCACCAGGTCAGTCACGCGGGATCCAGTCTCCTTAACGTCCCTGCTACCCACTGGCCCTGCCAACCACTTTAGACTGCACTGTGCGGCCTGTGCACCGAGGTGGGGAGGGCAGATTTTTTTTTTGTGAAGACTGCCTGTTGTTGCGTCTGTGGTGGGGAGGGCAGATTTTTTTTTTTGTGAAGACTGCCTGTTGTTGCCTATGGTTTCTGACCAGGGCCTGGACACCTGTCACCAGGGCTCTGTGGACTACTCAATTATGTCCAATGGAGTTATTTCTGCACTTCTCCCTTTGTCCTTTTGGGGTACACTTGATGGTAAACTCCACTGTCTGAAACAAAGCCACTGGTTCAATGAGGCCCTTGACTCAGGTTCCCCTAAACTCCTGGGCCTACTTTGCTGATTACTAGACTAGGCTGAAATCTGAGGGGCTCCAATGAGCAGATACTGCTGTTCAGGGCCACATTGGCTGTGTAAAACCAGCAGCAAAGGAGGCCACACCTCTCAACGGATGGAACTCAAGTTCTCGGCTCTGGCCAGTACTCCAGTTGATGACCCTGTTTTTCCACTAACTTTTGGCCTGGTGCCAATGGCCTATCTGGTCTGCCACATGAACTCCTGCAGAATGGCAGATTAAAGACAGCTCTTAGTCCACTAAACTCATGGAAACTGCTCAGCTTTCCTAATAACTAAAGAAATATTAAAATGAGATACATTTTTTTCTTATACTGACAAAAACAAAAAGGTCAGCAATATCCAGCACATGTCAGAGAAGAGATACAAAGGTATTTGTAAATATTGTTGCTGGCATGAAAATGAATTTTTTAAAAAGAATTATTCAATTTTATTTATTCTTCTTCTTCAATTTGATGAGAGAGAGGGGAGAGTGAGAAAGCAAGCTGCCAGGTCCATGACTCAGAAGCAGGGTTGGCTATGTGGGAGTCCAACACCTTAACCACCACACTAGCTGCTGGTCTCCTAAAACTGGTAGTTTTGTTTTTTTTTTCCCCTTCAATAAGAGGGCAGGAGGGAGGGAGGAGGAGGGATTTCCAACAGGGACTCACCATGCTGTAATCTTCCTACCGAAGCCTCTTAGTTGGCTAGGACCTCAGGTGTGCACCACTGCATCCAGCCTGTTATAGGTGGGCCAGGAACAGAACCCAGGCTACCAGTGTGGCCTCAGTCACACACAGCAGCCCTTTCACTTGTGCCACCACGGCTGGGCCAGTAGAGTCGTCTTTAATTTTGCTATAAAGAGGAGAGACAAAGAGCACACCCCCTCACGGAGGGTGGCCACATCACAAACCCTTATCCTCCATTTGACTTTTGAGATTTTGGGCATACACATATACACACACCTGTCATATTTTCAAGCTGGTGAACTGTGCAGTCAGCCATGTGGGATCCAGCTGCCTTCACCACAACACTGGCTGGCCGCCAGTACAGTCTTTTAAAAAAGCAACTTAACTGAATGCCCATATACACGGAACAAATGATTCCACTTTTGGAATCTTTAAACCTGCTATATATATTTTTTTTTTTTGGAGAGGTTTTTGCTATAGGGGTGTGTGCGCTTGCCAGAGAGACAGAGAGAATGCGTGAAAGACAGAAAGCGAGAAATCACCCCCCAGGGGGGATGGTCATGCCACAAT